CTGGAGACAGTAATACATTCATTCATTACATCTAGGCTTGATTACTGCAATTCGCTCCTGTTTGGTATCAGTCAGACCTCCATTGCACGACTACAATTGGTCCAGAATGCAGCAGCCCAATTTTTAACCAGTACAGGCAAAAGAGAGCACATTACACCAGTTTTGGCCTCACTGCACTGGTTACCGGTTCACTTTTGAATCCAGTTCAAAATAATCATGTATGTCTACAAATCACTGAACAGTGTCGCCCCCCCCCCCCCCATCTCTCTGATTTGCTACAACCGTATGTCCCACCACGTTCCCTGAGGTCAGCGGACCAGTTGCTCCTCACTGTTCCAGGAACTCGTCTTAAGCGCAGAGGTGACAGGGCCTTCTCTGTAGCAGGACCAAGACTTTGGAATGAGTTACCTCTGATTGTCAGACAGGCCCCCTCCCTCTCGGTTTTCAAGTCCCGTTTAAAAACTCACTACTATTCAATAGCTTTCAACACCAGATGATCTGTGTTTTGAACCTGTATGCTCCACACTGGTTAGTCGTCATTATCTGCATCGGTTTATGTCTATATTCTGATTTACCTCATTTTGTATTTTGCTTTGTGTGTTACCTGTTGTTTTGTCTGTACAGCACTTTGGTTGGCCTTGTTGCTGTTTTAAGTGCTTTATAAATAAAGTGGTATGGTATGGTACTCTGGCATGACATCACATCCCATATTTGTTGCTGCTGTGTTCATTTGTACTCATCTACTCACACAGACTCATGTTCGTGTTGCTGTTGTTTGGCATATTTTTATTTTTTATTTTTTACCATTAGTGCTTAGTGTATTCTTAGTTTAGCATATTTCTTATTTCATATCTTAGATCTTATTACTGTTTTTCTTTACAATTTTTACTTTTGTTGGATGTAACTGGGACCCTGTGTACACAATTTCGTTCCACCACATTCAAGGATTCAAAGATTCAAGGTTTTTTATTTGTCATACACACCACATGTTGTACATGTGGTGGAACAAAATTGTGTACACAGGGTCCCAATTACATCCAATAAAAAGTATTAAAATGTAAAACAAAAACAGTAATAAGATCTAAGATATGAACTAAGAAAAATGTTAACTAAAAACGCACTAATAGCATAAAAAATCAATATACCGAACAACAGCACAAACATGAGTCTGTGTGAGCAGATGAGTACAAATGAACAAAGTAACATGAAATAAATCAGCATCATGATGTGATTTTTAAGATATTCATGAGTCTAACAATCTCAGGGTAGAAGCTGTTCCTCAGTCTAGTGATTCTCCACTTAATGCTCCTTAACCTCCTTCCTGAGGGGAGTGGGGCAAAAAGTGTGTGTGCTGGGTGAGTGGGGTCCTTCATGATGCAGGTGGCCCTCTTCCTGCATCTGGAACCACATGTACCACATATGGTGCAAACGACAAATAAATAAACTTTGACTTTGACTTTGATATATAGAAGTGCCCGACGTGACATCAACTCGTATGGAAATGAAGGGCTGCTTCCAAAGCACCACCTGCAATAGCTTAAAATCTCACAAACTCCTTTTTTTAAACAAGTTTACATTTATTTTCAACATTTGCCACAGATGATGGGTATTTATTTTTGCCTCTATCATATTTTGCTGGATATGTAATATGAATAAATGGTGGGTGTTAGACTTTAAGATGGTCATCAGAGCTTAGAAAATAGAAATGAGCTATAACTCAATGAATTGTATACTGACCTAAAACTCGGTTTGGCAGTATCTGAGATTAATAACCAACACATATTCTGAGCAGTGAGCACTAACATGTCTAGTTCATTGTGATCATGTCATTTACAAGAAATGACCAAAATGACTACAACTTTGCACCTTTTACCTAAGATTACCTTAGTTTAAAACTCTTATATGAAAGGCATTCGACAATATGCATTACTTTAAGGAATCTTTGGCCTTTAATTACAGACAAATCTGTAATTGCTCTGCTGCAGTTAACACAGAGCAAAACATTATTTCTTTTTCCATGTGCTGTATCACAAGAACAAAACTGTGATGCATTCTGCTCACACAGTGCGGACAGATGACAAAAACAAGCAGCAGCTGCTCAGGCCCTCCAAGCATTCGCTCCGCAGACACAAAGGGACCATTTGTGTGAACGTATCATGAGCTGATGCTTCACCTCATCTTATCTCGTTGTCTTGTTTTAATACTCTACCTCGAGCAATCTGAGATTGACCCACTTTCTGTTAAAGCACTGAATGGTAGCCTTTGAGCTGTTTGTGTGGTGTGTTTGATGCCAACCATTTGTTGGAAGTTTTTGGTCAGGGTGCAGAGAGGAGAAGCTTCCACAGAAACACCAATAAACATTATTGCATGTGTTGTTAATCAAACACACACACACACATGCACACGCACATGCACACACACACACACACACACACACAGTACACTCTGTCAGACTCTGTTTTTTTTTTTCACTGGCAGGACAACATGGATATGTCATTCTGAGTTGTCAAACGGTTAGCCAGAACTTTCTTGAGGCCAACTGAAAATCCTTCTCCATGACCTCCCTGAATTCCTCCCATGCCCAAGTGTTTGTATAGGGAACCACTGCAGCCGCAGTCCTTCTGACCACCCTGTACCTGTCAGCTGCTTCAGGAGTTCTCCTGGAAAGCCAAATCCTGAAATCCTTCTTCTGCATCTTATCAGCTTTCATCACCACTGGTGTCCACCAGAAGGTCTTGTGCTTGCCACCATGGCAGGCATCAATGGCCTTCAGGCCACAGTTCCTGGTAGCCACGTCTGCATAGAGGTCCTGAACATGAACCATTTGGATTCCATGTCCCCGACCTCCTCCAGGACACACACCAAAAAAAACTCCTCCGGAGGTATGAGTTGAAGGTTGCATGGACCGGATGTTCCCAATTTACCCTCACTATATGTTTGAGTTTATCAGGTCTGTCCAGCTTCCTCCCCCACCACCAGATCCAGCTCACCACCAGGAGGTGATTGATTGACAGCTCTACCCCTTTTTTTTACCCAGGTGACAAAGGTATAGGGCTGCAGGTCTGACAATTACATAATCCATCATCAACCTTTGGCCTAAGGTGGCCTGGTACCAAGTATGCTTACGAAAAATGCTATGCTCAAGTATAGTGTTCATTATAGACAACTCATGCCTAGTACAAAAGTCCAGCAAGTGAACACCATTGGGTTATGCTAGTGAAGATTCTCAGTCATCTAGGTCATGATCAATCAATAAGAAAAAAAAGATAAAAAAAAACCTCATCTGTCCCGGATAACTAAACTTCTCATCCTATCTCTAAGGTAGAGTCCAGCTACCTTGCGGAGGAAACTCATTTTAACCGCCTGTATCCGCAATCTCATTCTTTTGGTCACTACCCACAGCTAGGCAACCCTCTTGTCACCAGGGACAACTGCAACACTGATGTATTTAGCCAGGGCCTTGTGAATATCCCCATATCCTCCTGCTGCTTCTTTTCCTGGACAACTCCAAAGTAAGAGAAAGTCCAGGCTCTCTCCAGAAATGGGGTTACAGAGCCAAGCTGTGTGCTGTGTGTAAGCCCTACCAGTATATCTAGTTATTATTGCTTAAAATCACACAAAATCTGGCTCCATACTTGCCACTGCCATGAAGGTGACATTCCACATAGAACTATGCTACAAGGAATCAAAATGGCCAGGGACTCTTCCATGCTTGCTTCCTGACATCCACAGCACCTGACCTTGACGGTACTTCTCACAGGTGGTGGGTCCACATAGAGGTGGTGTATTGTCATTCCATCGGGCTTGGCCTACCCAAATCCCAGGAGCCAAGGCTCGACCACCAGGCACTCACCAGTGAGCTCCTACCCCCATGTCTCCCCAAGTTTCCATTTTCTGAGCATTGTTACTTGATTGGTAACCCCAATATAACAAATATACTGTAACACACACATGCACATGCCACACAGGCGCACACACACACACGCACACATGTGCGCACACCCGTGTGCATACCCGTGCACACACACACACATATAGAATAATATGTTTCAAACATTTAGATGTCTAACAAGATCTAGCTTATTTGCTCGTCTACATTTTAGACATCTCTCAGATACCATTTTAACAAGAAAATGCTCAATCAGTAATGTGTAGTTTGCAGTGATAGTTTGAAGCAAAAGGGAGTGAGGGACACTGGTGAGTGGTTACCATGGTGGCAATATGGTAGCAGCACACTTAAGCCACTTTGCCATTGATAAGTGCGACTCCACTCGGCTATTGTTTGATCAGTTTTTCTCAGGTGGAGGTGATTTGCCTCTGTGACTTATTTCCCCCTCTGTGGGCAAGATTGCAAAGTGGGCAGAATCAACAGTCATTGTTTGAGTCACTGCCCATTGTGGTCCTTATTCATCTTATAGTCGGACTTCAATTTTGTTAGCTTATTGCGGCACTGCTTATAAGTCTAGGCGTAGCCATGTTACATCATCTCTGATATCCCTCTCTACATGATTTCATTTCTTGTGGTGCCATCCATCAACACAATGAGGAAGTGGAGGTCTAGATGTAGTTTGTAGTTTTGTAGTTTTGCTGGGTAGGTCATCCTGGGCCTTGTTCCACCTTGTTCGAGGTTCCACTGGAACCTCGAACAAGGTGGTCCCATAAACCGGGCTGAGTGGGGGTGGGCACCGGTAGTGGGTAGGCTCTTAACTAGTGTGGTGTGGAACCAATGAGAGTTGAGACAGTGGCAAAGTGCCATTATTCTGGTCTGGGTTCTCTTTATGTGTTTTATACAGTTACTGTATGCATTTTCTCAGCTTGGATGATCACAAACGTAAGCTGCAATACTTGAGTTTTATTGAAGAAAGTTGATGGTCGTTGGAATTTCTGCCACGACTACATACTGTATATTTCCTTATCAGACAAAGGGTTTAGAAGAAAAAAATGTCTTATTTGCAAAACTTAAACCTGACTGGGTCTGTTTTATTTGATTTATTTTGTAGAATCCATTGAAGACACCGGAGAAAAGGGTAAGAGATTTACATCTGCTTTGTTTCTTGAAGCGACTGAGCCACCCTCACACCACTGGGATCAGCTTGGATCAGCTGAAAATGCCATTTTTGAAGTAAACTCATCTTTAAATTTAGTCAAAGTCACTTTATTGTCAAAAACTGCAATATGTACAGACATACACAGGATTGAAATTACATTACTCTCAGACCCCGGTGCAACAATAACCATTTAACATTAAAATATTTAATAAACATAAGCATAAAATGAAATACTAAAAGTATGATACTGTCTTAAATTGTACTATAGTGGTATCATTTAAAAAAAAAAAGTATATCTATAAAATAAAATGAAATGAAGTGAAGGTCCTGACATTGACATTTGTAGTAAGTGGCAAAGCAGCATATGAAGTGAATGTACACAGCGTATGTATGAAGTCCTTGATATTGGTGTAGGTAAAGTGACATATGCAATAAGGCTAGTAAATATATATATATAT